CTTCTCTTCTCTTCTCTTCTCTTCTCTTCTCTTCTCTTCTCTTCTCTTCTCTTCTCTTCTCTTCTCTTCTCTTCTCTTCTCTTCTCTCTCCTCCTCTCCTCTCCTCTCCTCTCCTCTCCTCTCCTCTCCTCTCTTCTCTGATGGATCCCTCATTTTGACTTTAAACCAGCTCCAGGTCCCAAGGAGAGGCCATAGGGATCTCGCCCATCCCTGCCCCATGGCTCCCTGCAGCCAGAAGGGGAACAAGGCTGGTAACTTCCCCTCCAGTGCTCATTTCAGAGGTGCACACACCCATCCCCTGCCAATTTGCTTTTGCCACCAGCTCACCTTCCTCCCTGTCTGGTCACTCGTGCTCTTTCAGATCCCTCCCTGCCCTCAAGTATTCTCGAATTAATGACCACTGATCATTAATCATCATTAACAGACTGTGGAGATCTCTTGTCTCTGTCACAGCTTCACACCGTCCTCACGACTCCAGCATCTCAGCATGCTCCAGGAGCACATTTAGCCATGCAGCCATTAGTAACTGAGGGAGATTCCTTCTCTCTCCCTTCCTTTCTGCTGCTGGGTTTCCAAGTTATCATTGTTATTGATAATTCTCCTCCTCTATGATCCACCACCTGTATCCTCTTCAATCATTTGTTACAGGCACTTGTTGCACCTCTCCCATTTCCTGTGTGGTTTAGTGGTGCAGAGAGGTATCAAAGCCTCAGTGCTGCTTGGGGCCTGCGGGTGGTTCTCTCATGCCCTCAGAGCAGTTTTCCAAAATAAGCTGTTTCAGCTCTGGGTTGCATTGATCCTGTCCTTTCATCTCGGGGCTGCCCGATTAAAAGGCCATGTTAAGCAGGAGCAGGCTGCGATGCAGCCGTGAAGGCACCCCGACCCCCCATCGGCACTGTAACCCCAGCCGTAATGAATCACCACAACATCTGCAAGCCATTACAGACAGCAGAGAAACAGCCCTGTGCCAGGGAGGTGCCCCATTAGCCCGAAAATTGTTTGGGATGAGCCGGAGGCGATCAGTTGGAACCAATTTCTCCTGAGTTAGTCAGGAAATGGGAGTAAGTTGGAGAAGGGGATGAAAGCCTGGACTTGGGGTCTTTCTCCAAAATAACTGTTGACATTGGGCAACGCTGCCCTGCTAAGTTAGGGATCTATCTCCTCTCCAAAACCAGAAATTGACCTACAGGGAATTCAGGATGTTTGCAGTCTTCTACACTGACAATCAACAACAAAGAGGAAGGGGATCATGAAGAGCCCCGCAGCAGGATCAGCAAGCTCCTAGCAGACCAACATGAACCCTTTACCAGCTGGGAACCTCACAGCCTGGCTTCTCCATCCCCCTCGGCCCAGCGAACAACTGCCTGGTAGATGTACCAGAGAGAGAATAAGTCAAAGTGCTGCCACAAGGCAATTCCCTGTTCTGTTTTCTCCATTGCTCATCGCCGCTGCTCTGCCAAGTGGGCACCAGCAATGGGTGTCCGAGGAAGAGGACAGGCTGATGCAACTTGGCCTTCAAGCCTGCTGTTAGCTTTATCTTCCTCCTGTGCCATAATAGGTGTGTCTTGGTATTTTAGAGATACCCTCTTCCTGTCCTGGTTTAGCAAGAGCTTTCCTCCCCAGCGATGCCGTTTTGCCACGTTCAGAGGCACACAGAGCAGGGCTGACTTGAGATGGGGCAGACTGGTCTCTGAGACTGGAGCCACTGGTGCTGGCAGCTTCCAGCCCTGCATCCCCGCCTGCACGCTCCGGGCTCGGGCAGCTCCCGGCATCCGTGCTGCTGCGCTCATGAGGAACAGCCCAGTGACAGGAAACGCCGTTTGCTTTGTTAACAAAACCACCTAATTAAGTCCATGTGGAGAGAAAGCAAGAGAGGCAGTTTGGTTTCTCTTGCTAAATATTGACTGTTTACCCTTTGGGCACAGCAATCCAGTGATTTCACCCTCTCACCTTACACACAAGGCATCACTTCCTCGAGCCTTCTCCAAACTCATTGTCATTAGAGAGCTTCCCTAATGAAGCAGCATGGCTGCAGCATAAGAGACTAATTAGAATAGAAAATTCCAGGCTCCAAGCGCGGCAGCCTTGGAGCTGACCTCCTGACCTCCCATGAAGTGAGGTTTCAGCATGGCTGTAAGGCAGCATCCCACCTCTCGGACCTCTGCAACTGCTCTGAGTCCAGAGAAAACAAAACCACGCAGCTGAAACCCCAACTTTCTGGGATTGCTGAGAGACAGAGAGAACAGAAGGGGCCACTCTTTGCAGACTTCAGTGCTATTTCCAGAAGTTACCTTGATATTTGTAGCACAGATTTGGAGGGACCAGTCACCCTGACCTTTCAGCCAGATGCTCTCAGCGTCCAGAGTCACTCAGGAGCTTCTGCACTGAACAGAGCTTTGTCCCAGTGTAAGGATGAGGCCTGCAGTTAAAGACCATTTCCCTTAGTGCCCAGCACCAGGTATTAACACAGCACCAGCCTGCAAGAGCAAAGATCAAGCAGGATGTGTGCGTTGGCCAAACTGGGATGCAGCTGTAGCCAGCAGAAAGCAGTGATTATTGGTGCAACATCCACCATAGGGCAGGAACCCCATGCTGGTCTAGCATGTCATGCAGCCTCACAGGCTGAGATGCAGCTCAATGAAATATCAATATAGGCACAATACAAACACTAATTATGTTATATATTAATTAGGAATTGAAACGCCATAATCCATATAACATAGCTCTATAAATCATACGGTCTTCTCCCCTAGACCAGACTACTGCAGTTGGCAAGGACCTACAGCGATCATCTCATCCAACTGCCTGATCAATTCAGGGCTGCCCAAGTGTCACAGAATCGCATCAAAATGGCTACACACACACAAATAATGGACTCAAACAAGCTTTAATCTGCAACTGAAATGAAGCAGACAAAACTTTATTCACCAAGACAACTTCCCACTGACATTTAACAAATGCAGGTTCGATATGCTGGTTGGGAATATTACCAGACACGGATGAGTTAAGAATTCTTAAGATTTGGTCAAACGATCCAAAATGTGCACTCACTCACTCACCAAAAAGGGAGGGCTCTCAATCTCGAGAAGTTACCTTAAGTGGCGTCCCAACTCAAGGGGAGAGTCCCCGACTGCAGACCCGCTGCTCTGAGGAGGACCGACTCCAATGAGTTTTCTGACGGGGCCCCATTTATACCCTGGTCGAATCTGATCTGTGGTCAATACATGGTTGTGTCAGTCCCTATTGGCTGAGGACTCCAACCTTCCTGCCTTTGACCCCCACTGTGTGGAGCTGTGAGGGGGAAGGCAGTCCTGGCACCACCAGGGCCAGAAACTTTCTTTGTTGGGTTTTTCTCGGGTCTTTAGTAGGGTGGGTGCATCTGCCACACCAAGTCAAAGCACGTTGATACAGGCATTGTCCAAATGCCTCTTAAACACTGATAGGCTTGGGGCATTGACTGCCTCTGCAGGAAGCCTGTTCCAGGGTTTGACCACCCTCTTGGTAAAGAAATGCTTCCTCATGTCCAGCCTAACCCTCCCCTGGCACAGCTGTGAACCATTCCCACACTCTGCCACTGGATCCCAGAGATCAGCACCTCCCTCTCCACCCCACAGCTCGCACGGTGTGTGAAACAGCGCTTGATTTCACTGCTTGCAGCAGTGACACAGACAATTTCAACTCTTGTGCACTTTTAACCTGAAATCCACGTCCTTTCGGGGTTTTGCTTAGGTCAACAGTCAGCCCTGAGCTCCCCTGCTCATTTCATACACCAAGATGTGCTACAGCTGCAGACCAAAGGCAGCGTGGTGTGGTGTGGCGTGGTGTGTTGTAGTGTGGTGTAGTGTGGTGTAGTGTGGTGTAGTGTGGTGTGGCGTGGCGTGGGCGTGCACACACGCGACAAGATGAGACGGACATCTCTCTGACCGCCTGGCAAATGACCACACTTTGGTCACCTAGAAGATGGGTAAAGAAAGATTACACATGGTTTTATCATCCTGGTGTCTGAGGGCATCGGTTCCGAGAACTTCTCTGTCCATGGAAGCAGGGTTGTCTCATGAGTCGGAAAAACCAGCTACAAACAAGCCTTTGCACCAGTTATTGTACACACACACACACACACACACATACACATATATATATACACATATACATATACGTATATATATACACACACACACATATACACATATAAAATATACACACACACAAAAGGGAATATGTATACATAAAAGAGATTATATATACTTACACATATATCTATATGGGAAGAAGTTAAAAAGTTTCAGGAAAATCACACACTTATTTGTTTATAACTCTCATCATAAACTCTATCATGAAATTATCCTAAGATTAAAAAAAAATTAAAGATGTTTATCTGTGATAATATTAGACCAGAGTGGCCTACAAAAAATTATTCCTACTCCTCTGATACATTAGGTAGTTAATCAAGACTACAGAAGCGGTGGCCTGAATTCAGACACGGTGTCAGTTAATGTAATTACAGGACGATTACACAGATCCATTACTCTGCACAGTTCACCAAGGAGCTGTCAGCTCATCTGCAGGCAGCAGGAGCTGACGTCTGAGCACATCTCCAGGCCCTGCATTCTCCACACCTTATTTGAAATATCAAATGGTGTCACACACCAAATCATGACTCAAACGTGTCCGTAGGGTCTCAGACAGGGAATGAAAAAGTTGTAGAGCTCCAGCTCAGAATTAAAAGCCCAATTGAAGAAATATAAAAAGAAACTCAGACAGGGAATGAAAAAGTTGTAGAGCTCAGAATTAAAAGCCCAATTGAAATATAAAAAGAAAAACAACACTGAGTTTGTCTCTTAAGGCATGGCATTGCCAGGATTCTTTTATTTTTTAAATGCAGGGGGAAAAAAAGTTCCTCTTTTTTGTTTTAAATACAGGAAATTTTGTACAGCATTTCCAATAGAAGTTCATGATGGTTTGCTCTCCATGGTGAAAGATCTTCCCAAGGGTAAAAACAATTAAAAATCACGTAACAGTCTCAAGACAACCTACTTGTGCTTTGCAGTTGATTAAAAGTATGCGCGCACAACCACTGCGATGTCAACCAAGAAACAGAGGTACAAGATAAAAATACACAACACAATTTAAAAGTTGCCTGATGTTCACAGCATCTTCATATTTGCCTAAAATTCTTCACTGACTGCAGGAGCCAGAGAGGGTAGAAGAAGTTAAAAACCTGTTTCACACAGCTGGTGTATTTGATTCTAAGAGACTTTATAAAGCACTGGAATCCCCTTGTCCCTGTTTCGCTGCGTGTTGGAGCTGTGCGTTTTGTGTCAGTACCAAATTAGCACCGTATCCTGTGTAACGCGAACATCTGTTACATGGCACACACAAACAAACCGCATACAAAAAGTTTTACCATAAAAATGAAGATATTTATTCAAGAAGTACAAATTTGATGGTACCAGCCATCTTTGAAAGCCATTACCATGAGGCAGAGAGGACACAAACCGACGTCTCTTGCTCAGAGCATATGAAAGCAAGTGTCTTACAAACCGCCAGCTAATGCAGCCATTTCAATCATTGCTCAAAAGCCACCTCCACTTTTTAAACATTCCCTGGACTTAAGAGAGGCACAAATAGGGTTTTTAATACAAGACCAGTTAGTTATTTTAATAAAGCCATCAGCTAAAATTTACTTTGTTTTAAATTTCCTTAAATTGCCTCCAGCCTTTGACTGGATTCAAATTTCCTAAAGAAAAAAGGGACTTGGGAATGAGCAGGTGCAGAATTTTTGGAGCTCAAGATGAACTGAAAGTTTTAAGGCAGGAGTCAGGATTTTAAGTTCTCTATTTGCCCCATGGCTCTGATCGAATGGTCTTCATCTGTAAAATACACAAATACAGAGTTCTACTGGATAAATACCCAACATACTTCTTCACAGAGAGTCCCGTGGACACACTTATTAAGAGTCTCAACGTCCGCGGTGAGAAGCTTGCTGGTTAAAACACCTCATCCTCCAACTACCGGACTTTTGTAGGCTCAGTGGCACGTATCTCCCTCAGAAGGAGAGCTATAGCTCCATCTCTACGAACAAGAGCAACACACACGCGGCTACGGAGCATCTAAGTGGATGAAATATGGAAGAGGAGAGCCATTTGCAGAACAGAGCAATCAAAAACACTTTATGAAAAGTCTTAAAGCAGGCAGACTTGTATATACAGTCATTAACCACCAGAAGTGTTTGTAGCTGCAGATATCACAGCAGGACATTCATCTTCTTTGGGAGAAGACAGAAGCTCGGTTGCTGGACAGTTTAACACAAAGGCTTCCCGGATGAGTTAACGTGCAAGGCAGACCACCAGCAGCTAGTGGCTTTGGAGCAGATCTTCTTCTTTTTCCAAGAAAGCTGCAGATCGTATGAAGCTCATCTCCCCACCCACAGCAAGCCTTCAAAAACGCCTTTCTGAAACCTCTCTACATCCCACTCCAGGAGAGCGCAAGCTGTCCAAGAGCTGCCAGCCAGGGTCCAGGGGGGAGCCTGAATTACAGGGGAAGTGGTGAAGGGCGAAGGAAAAAAGCCCCTTTTGCTAACAGAGACAACTTTCATTTCAACCTAACAGGATCTGAGCAGCGCAGTGAAAAAGCCAACTTTTTTTTTTAATGTAAACATTCTCTGCATAAGGTGCAGGGTTTCGGATGTATTTACAGCAACACAGAAAAGAGTTTGTAAAATACAGATCAAGAGTCAGAATGTAGCTACCACTTATGCTTCTGAAGAAGACAGAAATGGAGAAACGTACAGCATTCAATTCGTCAACACTTACACAGCTAAAATGCTTTCAAAACTCCATGGCTAAAAGCGTCCCACCATTGTAACAAACTAAGATTTATTTTTTTTAATAGTTTTAAAAAAGTTTTTACATTATTTACTAACAATGGATATATATGCAGAAGCATGTCATACTACAGCACTATTTTATCAATCGGCTTTATCAAAGGTTACGCACGTTGCCATGTGTTGCCTTGTTGCTCCAATGAATCCCTCTTTCCTCTCCTCCCCAGAGCAACTTAGGAACTTTCTGTGAAAGGCAAATTGGAGCTGGGGCTTTGTTCGGTTGCTCCTGGGGTAAGGTGGTTTTATTTGTTGTTACTATTACTTTTAGCGTTGGGAAGTCTATTAAAAAACCCAACTTACTACTCTGCTGACTTGCATCATTTAGTTTTCCAAAGTATTGCCAGGTTCAGACAAGTAAAGGCTTTCAGAAAACTAAAGCAAGCTCTTGCAGTGCAGCTATTCCCCGCTGTGTTTCCTGCAGAGGATGTCAAGGAACCATGATGCCCAAAGAGCCAAGGCAGGCAATGAAACTTTTGGGAGCTGGGTGCTCAGCAGGAGCAGCCGTCACCTGGCCGTGGAAGACAGCCCTGAGCATCCTTCTGCAGCCACCGAATAATGTACCTGCAGCACCTGCGGCTCTTCTGTGTGTTCGTGCTTCTCTGCCTTTCAAGATGCTCAGGAGCGTGGACTTTCACAAGGTTAATACTTCTGGGCCAGGCTGAAGCAAGTATAAAAACTTGAACCGTGTCAAACAGGCCTGTCACTAACATTGTAAAAAATGTAATTTACTGCCGCCAGTTCACAGCCAGAGCTAATCAGGAATGACACAAATGGCTGATGGGTCTAACAAATTAAAAAATACCCTATTACTCCCACTTGCCTGCGCTCGGCATTGCAGTTCACGGCTGCACGTGTTACAAAACCCACTGCATTACTTTGATTCCAACCAAGACACAGCACAGTGCTGGGCAGCACGCACACCCCCATGCCAAAACCCAGCGAGGCCGCGTTGCCAGCGCTGCGCAGCTCGGTGCACACCCACGCTGCAAACTGAAGATGCGCACACCAGCGTGCTGCTTCTCCTCGACCCATCCTCCCGGGAGCCTCCTCACTGGGCTGCCAGCTAAAGAGCGGGTCAGTTCTTCGCTGGAATCACCTCAGCCATGCCGACCCTTCCCTTCCTCGCCCAGGAGCCCCGCTCTGCCCAGGAACCTGCACCAGTCCCACCACAGCCCCAGCCTGGTTTCCTGTGCTAGCATCTGTCCCAAAACAATCTCGCAGGACAAGGACAAGGCATTTAATTGACAGAAATGAGCACCCTCTCAACGTATATTGCAACCTGTAGTTATACACACCGGATACGTTAGTCAACATGTATATGCCTGTATGCCTCCAACACTGATTCTCTTTAATATGTATGTGTTGAAACTTTGAATTCTTTCCCAATACCAATACTGTAAAATGCATTTCCAGCAGGGTATGTGCTTAGCACATTTGTTATTTTATACAGAAGAGGTTGAAAAATCTTCCCTTTCACACAAAAAAGCATTTCACCATTGATTTTTTTCAGTTTTAGATATGTGCTTATGAGAGGGGGGGGGGGGAGGCTGTTAGAGAAAAAAGTATTTCCATGATCCAATTCTCTGTTCTACTCAAAGCCCGCTCATGACATGGGCTTCAGAGCATCACCTTGCTTCCCGCCATAAAAGCAATTGGTATAAAACGTCTATTACAGCATAATAAAACTGAAGGGGGGGGAAGGGAAAGAAGGACCTCTCCCAGCCCCTACACGCTGTAATCTCAGAAACAGTACATTGTGACAATTGTCTGAACTGAAAAAAATATCAACAAAATGTATCCTACAAAAAAAAGAGCAGTGTTTTAGTGTTCGCAGTTACAGAACTGTCACCCTGGTTTGCTCCTCCTCAATCTATCACAATTTCCCCCTTCCAGAAGAGACTGCAGGGAACTGACACCATGAAGACCATTTACATGGAGATGTAAGTTATGTCTTATGAGACGAGTAGTGTCTTCCTGGCATGAAATCATCCTTTGCTCAGTGAAAATCCAAGAGAGTTTTGAGTTGGTTATCTATCAAATATGTTTTTCCCCCTCTGGAATGCAAAAGATCTGGCTGCAATACCCCAGTATACAGTAAATCGTATTGGTCTTAAAAAACCCTCCACAATAGAAAACTTTTGTTATATTAGTATTTATCAGCTTTGATTTCATCTTTAAAAAGAAGAAAAAAAAAACAAAAAAAAAGGAAAACCAAGTCACTTTGGTGTTTATAAGAACAGAGCACAAGTTTTCCTTTACACAGCTCTGCCACTGCACTCCTGTCATCCTGTCCCAAACCGGGGCTAAAGAAGCTGTTAGAAAACCATAAGCTTAATACAACACAGGGACCATGATGAAACCTGTATTTATTTGGGGTAGGGTGTGAAATGCATATAAAATGTGGATCTGTTTTCCAACCATCAGTGTAAATTCTGCACCTGCTTCCACCTGCTGGGCAAGACTGGTGACTTTGAAAGGGTGACCACTGCTTGTCCTGGCTCTATCCTGATGCTCACGGAGCAAAAATTCCCTTTCAGTCTGAGAAAATGAGTCCTACGGAATTAATGAAGGAGCAAAACGAACAAGTTTAAAACTGTCAATCTAACCCACCAGTTTCACTAGCAGACGAGAAGGAGCTGGGACAACTGTAGCCTTAGACCACTGATTCAGAGAGGGAAGACAGAAGCCAATAAAAATATGCTATTCACACCTGAATAAAACATTAGACTTCGGAAGAAGCGAAGTCATTTCAATGATGGCTGAAAAAACAAGCAAACTAGAAATCACGTTTAAAAGGATTAGGGTGCTTCATCTCAACCAAAGGCATTACCAGACAGGGGTGCAGAGCAGCCAAAGGAACACAGAGAGCATCTCTAACTGAGGGAACAAGCAATTAGATTTTTCTTCTTTCCAAAATATGCTCCAATTCAGATTTGTGAGACTACTTAAGGATTTGTCATTTGCCAAAAGGGCTCCCCTTACATTCTGAAGGGGAAGCGGTGGCTGTGAAACACCACCGTGATGCTCTGGGCCATGGGTGTGTGCTGGTGAGGATGTTGCTTGTCCTGGCTGCAGTCACCAGAGCCAGAAGAGAGGCTGCTGCTTCCAGTGACACTCACATGAAAAGCTGCGAGCCGTGTGCTGCTGTGTCCTCCTCACCATCTTCCACACTTCGTGCCCTCTGGGAACTGAGTGGGGGAAGCTGCAATCCATTGCATCTGGGTGTCACTGCGGTTTAACCTGGACCTATTACACCGGTACCATTTGACAGAGTTATGCACCTAGTGCTTAAACACAGACCAGTGCATCACTCATCCTAGCCAGCCTGATAAAAGCTTGCTTTAATGATCTGAGTGACAGACAGTAATTCGGCGGGCACGTATTCAGGTGCCGGTTGGCCGGTAAACTTCAGGCTAAATCAGTCTTGTAGCAAGTAAGTTTACAGTACAGTACATGAGAGTCTACATTGACTAAGTTATTGCCTAAGGCTCCGGTGGGCTGCGTTCCCAGTCTGGGAGCCAGCAATGGCACGGGACTGCGCTGCCATCTTGGAATGTACAATTGCTTGGTCTGAGCAGCACCAGGAGCTGGTGGTGCCCACTCGGGACAGAGACCGAGTCCCCAGCCCAGCTCCACGGCCCGGGGCTGGCTGTGCCTCAGCGGTGCCTGGGCGAAGCACGTGAGTGCGGTCAAACCAGAGAGGATCCCCGTGAGCAGGCAGCACGGGACCTACCCAGAGCAGCCGCCATTCTTGCACGAACTGTATGTGGTGCTGATATGAACTTTCATAAATTGATTATTTATTTTCTCTTTAAATAAAAGTGCTCTCTCTTGCTCTAGCTCCATGGATCAGGACACCACCTACAGTTTTAAGAATCATTACATTTGTGTATTAAGTGAACTACAATCCCTTCCCTCCCTCCTTGTATCTCTCATCCCTTTTCCCTTCCCAATCCCGTTCCTTCCTTTGCTCTTGCCCTGTGCTGCTTGCTGTTGTGTTCAATATCAGATCAGGCAAACCCCAAAGGCCAGTTTACATTTTTATGTTTTGTTTTTGCAGATCTCCATCACAGATGGAATTTTTGCTGGTCATTTTGTGGAACCAATCCATTAGCAGGACAAACCAAAAGAAGAGAGGGCAGTGAAAACAAACCCCATGACAGAGACGGAGGAAAGAAGAATCAATAAACAAGCAGAAATCAGTTTTCCACCGGGGTGGGATTTGCTAAGGGCTGGCTCACGATGACTTGCACCACGTAGTCCTTTGGGATTTTCAGCTCCTCCAGTTTCATTTTGTCTGCCAGCGGCCTGCCCGAGAAGACCCAGCGCTGGCTGCCCGGCTCCCCGCCCTCCACCGCGTGCAGCCGCCTCTTCATGTGGTACACCGTGTCCATGCTGCGGACCATGAGTTTGAGGTCTTTGCCTGTGGACAGGCGCAAACGAAGCTGGCATTCGTGCCCTGAATTGGGTGGGGGATCAGGAATATCCAGAGTCTCCAGGTCACCCTTCTCCTCTATCATGTTGATAGGTGGGGCGAGGCAGTAGACGGGAAGCTGGTAGCGGTTGCCCAGTTCATCGTAACACTCTGTAAGAGCACCTTGAGGAGATAAGAGAGGAAAAAGTGAGGATGAATGCATTTCACATTTAGCATTAAGCAGTGACGCTTTTTATCTAGAAAATTTCCCTGGCAGCATGGCCAGGGAATGGTACACACAGGGCACACGTGCACCCAGGAAATGGTATTTGGATGAATTACACAACCCTGAACACAAGCTCTGAAAAGGCAAAATGGCAAAGACCACTGTGAAAGAATGACTTTGTAAGTTCTCAAACATTCAAAAATTGCTGAAACGGTTTCACACAGGACTTGTGTTTTAGCGATCTTGGCCAGAACAAACAAACACGACCACCCAAGTCAGACAACCCTGCGGCTCCATACGGAGCACGGTGTCACCGCTGGAGCAATGACACCAGCGCACGCTTTACATTTCCAGTGTCTGTGACTCCTGTCTTCCCAGCCCTGAAGTTCCCGATGGGATTTTTATTTCCCCAGACTCCTGAGAGGTTCCTCCTTCACGTTAAGGCTGATGGGGCAGCGGCGCCGTGCCTCGCACCCGGCACTCCTTCTTACCAAAACGGTACAATACTCACAGAACAGCCCAGGAATTACAACAAATACAAGCTGGCTTTTTCACAGTATGAGACACATTTCAGAAAAACATTTCAAGAGCTACTCTGGGAAAGCGGCAGGGCATTTTTCATAAGGATTTAAGAGTTAAAGTAAGAGAAGGGTGAAAGCAGAGCCCCACTGCACACAGCACATGTCACCTCTTGCAGTGAGCCAGGAAACTGAGATGCTGATGCAGGTGCCCCCTAAATCACACCAGAAATCCCTTCTCACTGTGGTTAAGAAAACGGATAGTCACACTCCAAGCAGGTATTTCTCCCAGTCTTAGATTTACCTGCTATAACAAATTTCCACATTTTTGCCCCTAGAGGGGGCACATTCACTGGCAAGATTACCCATCCTTTTGTAGCTGGAAATGTTTGAAGGGGAGCCAAGTCCTTGAGCTAGAGAATATTTAAAAAACTCTTTGACTCGGCAGTTCTGCACACAACACCCAAATGCTCCTTTTTAGAAACGAAGAGTGGATTTTTTAGTTGGAGATTTTTTCATGCTGACAGTGAGTTGCCTCAAACTTTGCTGTTCGATCAGCAAAATCACTGCAATATAGAATTATAACTTGGGAATATACTGTGTCACTCAGCCCACTGTGACAGCAGCGTCTTGTGGTGGAAATTTTCTTTTAGACAGAAGATCCCCCCTTTTTAAGGATAATTTACGTTTATGAAAACACACAGAGAGAATCTTTGACTAAAAGATCGATGTTTTGGGTGCAGCTGCTTTTGGAGGCTTTTCTGTTCGTACAGGCAGCACCACGGCTGCTATGCCCTGAGATTTATTGAGAAAACGAAACAAAAAAAGGAAATCCAGGAAAATATAGTTATGCCACTCATTATGGTCTTGTATCATCTATGAATCTCAGAGCAAACCAGCTTTTATCAAAACTATGCGATCCATACCCTTCATGTTAATTTGTCTGTGATTTACAGACTGAGGTCTGAAGTTGCCATACTTCAGATTTGTTTTACAACGTTCATTTCATTCTGTACGCCTGATCAATTTAGTAAATGTCACAGTACTAAATCATGGATCACAGTTCACAGAAACAAGCAGACCAAAAATAAATACAGACTTCAACAGCCTTTAAATTTAGCCAGAGCAGCCAAACTTGTATCTTTCTTTAAAAGCCATGTATCTTAAAAAGAATGCTCTGTACTTTAGAAAGTATATCAAAGAGTTAATTTTAAATACAATGGGGTAAGCTTGCTAAGGAATTTCTTCAGCGTTTGAAGCTGAACTAACATCAAGGTTAAAGCAAATGCTATAAACAGTGGATTGCTTAATCATCATCAGATAAGCAATATTAAAAAAAATTCTCTGAAATAGCAGCTAGCTTGGAGGTCTGTCTTTAAAAAAACATAAAGACACAGTAGAGAAAACCTCTTGCCAGTAAGAAGTGCACAGTCCCATCCCAGGCCGAGAAACTGTTCATAAGGAATTGTAGATGTAACAACAGGTTCCCATAATCACCCATAATCCCACTCTTCCAGTCACACTGGTAAAAACATCCCTAAGGCTCCCAAGCCCTATTACCTACCACTCAGTGGCTTTCACGACTGGATATATTGATTAAAGACGACTATTGAGAGCCAAAGAGACTTTATTGCAGCATCTGGCACCTACTGCAGGCCAAGCTGGAGCTGCATGGAGCAGATCAGGAGTTGGTCCTCGCCTCCAGGGACGTGGAGGTTGAGTGGTCTTTGCAGAGGGTCAGGCCCTGCTACAACCTTCAAGATGTCACAGATGTCAACAAACTGAAAGCAGCATGTGAAGGGGCATCACATCGGTTGGAGGTCAAAGTAAAACGACGGCAGAATGCGTTAACCAAAGGCGTGGTGAGTGTGGAGCTATTTTAAGCGATGCTTAAGTGATGCAGGCAAACGCAAGTTATTGGAGAGCAAGACAGAAAGTGGCTGACCTACCTGCAGCCACCATGGCCAGCTGGCAGCTCTTCACCAAGGCACTCACTGCAGCATCCCTTACAGAGTGCAAAGCACGCAGGAAATTAAAAATCCCAACTACTAAACCCTTCGTAATTTTTCTGCTGTAATTGAAAACCATGTTTCTGATCTTTCCTGCAAGATACATCAGCATGGGCCACAGAAGTTATCCAGCAGGAAGGGGCACTAAAAGAATGTCAAGCTTTTATGAGAAAACAGAGAAAAAAAAGGAAAAAAAAAAGATATTTTTTTTTTTTAGGTTTCCCCGTTACCTAGGCAACAAGGGTCCTCACCAGCCAGTTACAGCATAGGAAGGATGCAACCGCCCTTGTACTGCAGAAGGAAAAGGCGATGCTAACAGGGGCTCTGCAGTTCAGGTGGACAGCCCTGTGCACTCTCCTGCCAGCACCACTCCCCACCAGTGGGCAGGGTGGCACAAGGACACCCTCCACAGCCCCACTGACACAGGTTTCCCCTCCCTGCGTCCCCTTCCTTCCCCAAATGCTACAGCTGGATGCTGCATCAGGCAAGCAGGCTAGGTTCAGATGTCAAAGCCTGGAGCACGAGTTGGTACTCCAAATGTTCACTGGTAATCACACAAAAAACCACGTAAGAGGGGCAGATTTCAGGAAGAAAACAGCAGAGAGCATGGTTGGCCAGCACACAGGTCTAGGTGAAGGATTCTGTACAGTACATGAAAGATCAAAGTGTTACGAAAAGATCTTACAACAATATTGAGGAGAGGACAAATTAAGCTTATCAATAATACATATACTTGAGTATTCTTTATGTATCTAAAGACTCCTTTAGATGTTGACATGACTTTAATAAGCTCAGACACAAAACGTCCTGGTAGAAACATGAAGAACTGCCTTTGAGGAAAGCCAACCACACAACCAACCAATCTCTAATGCTCTCCAACTTTCTATCATTCACACACAAAGGAATGCTCTGAGGATCTCACTGACAGATTAATTATTCTGAAAATTTCCCAGTTAAAAATTTACACTGTCAAGCAAGCTCTAGAGTCATTCAGTGTCGATGCTGCAACACAGTTACGGTGTTATCTTCATAGGCTTGAATCCGGTCAGACAGAACAGAAGTTACAATACTAGAACAACAGTGGATGGGATTATTTTAGTATTTCAAAAGTAACATCGACTTGGAGACAAGGGAATTCTGGAAGGAGCTGCGAGGCAGAACTTCTTGTTGGTTGTTATCCAGGTAGGAGACAGCTTGAGAGTTTCAGGCGGAAAAACAAGCAGATGTGATCATCACCAAGCATATGGAATTGGAACATTTGGAAATGAATTGCCCTTCAGGCCATAAAACTTTGTTTTACTGAGATTATTAGGACAAAAACATTCATCTGGATTAGTAATGGAAAGCACTAAAAAGGACTGGTTGAGATACTGCTTCCATCCCTAAACAGTTCAGAGTTTGGACTCGCTTGTGCTTCTGCGCATGAAAGCACCGGCAATTTAAGAGATGTAAACAACACAGAAGTAAACTTCCACAGAAGTTACTGAAACCAGGCATATATGACCACACTCATCCAAAAACATTAAAAGTTTTAATGCATTTTAATGCCATTTCTTTAAAGCTGCATACCATTGCCTCTTCAGAAAAAGCAGCAAATTTATCATTTTCTGCTCATCATGTGCCATCCATTTCTTTAAGATTTCAAGCAGTTTTGAGGAGGACTGCACAGAAACACCCAGAACTTAAACAACTGAGCAGATTTCCATCTCCTCTTCCTTTCCCCCAGACAGACTTGCTGCAGGAAAAGAAATTAAGACAACAACAAACGAAAATCTTGCATTGCAATGAAACTAGCTAATTTAAGGAGCTTAAGTGTTTGTGTGTAGCACATTTGCCCAAGGAACAGCTGGTTCATTTCTTTTCTTTACTGAAAGGCCCCATTCCAAACCCAAGTTGAACCTGGGTTGCTGAATAAATTGGCAACAGTAGAGCTTTCACCTGTAGACTATTGGTTTTAATCCAACAGAGGTCACTTATTCCTGGAAGTCCATACGAGCACGAGAAGAGAAGCAGGTCTGCTTCTGGGTCCTACAGTGCAGAAATTCCTAGAGAGCAGTGAGTGAGGCAGAAATGCTGAACTATCTCTTCATCTTTGTTAGCTGCTGATTCCAGGTCACGGCTGGGAAACACAGGATCTTATAAGAGCAAAAATGTAAACTGACGTCAACAGCATGCGAGAGTGGTGAAGGGTGACAGTGGTCAGTACACGAGCAGGACCGAGACAAGTGAAAACGTGCAGTGCTTTGTTCCGGCTCACCTACACCCATCGCAAACTGGGAGGAGTTAATAGAAATAAAAGTTATTTCACATTAAACCCTGTATAACTTAATAATGACTGAAACAGCTTAATGCTACAGTCAACAACTGCAGCTCTCCTGTTTTCTGGAGGGCGATGTGTGGGAGTACGCGTTCAAGCCTGTGCCTTGCACC